AATATATATATATGGAGAGAGAGAGAGCTGCTGTTATTATAAAGGGAAGGTGTAAAGAAAGTTTACTCTGCACTTTGGAATTAATTATTTGGGCCCTTAATACAGGAGGTTATGTGATGAATATTTTTAACTAAAAGTTCTGCAGCTAGTGACGTTCGCAGATTTTCTTCGTAACTGGTGATGAACTTCAACACAGATCATTTCTTTTAATACTTCAGCGTGAAGAAAACTGGGTAGTGTTAATTTCTCAGAAAAACAAAATCTTAAGAGAGGTGTTTATAAATACTGTGCATGCAAATCTGAGGCACCAGAGTGCTATGTTTAGGGTAGTTAGTAATGCTTGACATTTGGAAAGTAAGTTGGAGTGTTTCACATAGGAAATTATGCGCATCGTGGGTACTGTGAACTGACTAACGGGGCTGTTAGGCGAGACTTTTAACTGACAGAATAGGACAAGCAAAGAATAAAAAAGCCTGTTATATATATTGGATAGATGGCTGGTCTTAATTAAGTACTACCTTTGTCTTGGTAGTAGCTTTCATGTCTTTATGCTGCATTTTACTGTTTCAGAGAAACTCAAGGTAGAAACCTTGTTTTTTCCTGGAGACCTTTCCATAACTGTTTTGATTTTTTTTGTTTTTTTTCCCCTTACCTTGGTGTGTCATTCTTGCTGTAGAAAATTTATTCCGGGTTGGTTGTTATTTCAGTACTTCCATTTGCTTGAGGTGAGATGGGGCGATGATTGTTCAACGGAGAAAAAAATCATAATGTTAAATAGATAGCTGTGTACGATGGGTCTCCTCGTCAGTTTAAATTATTGCGCATTGCAAGTGCTTCTGCTCCTGTTGTCTGAAATAGTTTCAGTGTCAGAGGCAATTTTTCATTACAGATAATAAGATTCAGATCTTTTTAAACACCACTTGCAACATAAAATACCAGAAACCCTAGATGGAGAGCAGTATTTTTACTGTTCCGGTTGTTATGAAAAAGCATAAAATTGTGGATGCCCATAAAAATTTCTCACTCGTATGTTTATTGGTTTTGCAGGCACTATCCTGGTTGACAATATGCTGATCAAAGGGACAGCAGGAGGGCCGGACCCCACCATTGAGCTCTCCTTAAAGGACAACGTAGATTATTGGGTGATCCTCGATCCGATCACCCAGATGTTATACCTGAACAGCACTGGCCGAGTTCTGGACAGAGATGTAAGTTCAGGGGCTGCCGTTTGCTTTCTTTTCTCCTCATAGACAGAACGTTCTACATCTGTGTGTGCTAACAGAGGGACTGCAAACACGAGACCTGCTAGAACATAATAGCTGCATCTATCTTTTATTCCCAGATGGATGCGAGCAGAGTTTATTTATTTATTAGGTGTTATTGGGAGCGGGCAGAAACTTGACCTTGTGTACAATTATTATATGTGTATGATCGCAACAATAAAGACCAAACTAATAGAGGTGTTGGCTGGCAGAAATATGTATCCAATCGAACTTGACTTGTTTACTGAATTGGAAACTTTTTTATTTTGGTTTGTTGCTTTTGTCTGGAAGAAATGCTGCTCACCTGGAGTCCTGTGACACTTACTATAAATCTCCTCTAGCTGTGTATATTGGCTTCTGAACTCTTGAGAGAGCACAGGAATTGTGAATATTACAATTCACTTATAAAGCTTGGTGTATTCAATTGAGAATATGCTAGTTTACATTCTTTTTTTTTTAAGGCAGCATAAAGTTTGTGTGGTATGTTTGCCCCTAATAGTATTAAAGAAATATTGTCAGGCTAATCTTGTTTTTTATAAAAAGAAGCCTTAAAAGCACCAGATAAATAGGAGTGTTCTCATCTATGCTAAATTCATTGAAGAGAAACAGTTTAAAAATAAAGATGTTTTCTCATGGTGTTATAGCATTGCTGCAGTTCATCAGAATCTGGAAGGAAAATTGACCTGGAAATGACTGTAATCAACATGGGAAGAATTTAAAGATCAGAAATTCTCCCTGGAGTTCATGAAAAGTTTGTTTTGTATTAGCTTGATTGATTAATTTGTGTGTTCTGTGTGTTTTGAGATTTATTGGTAAGTACCAGAAACAACATGCAAATTTTTCTTCTTCCCCATTTTTAGTTAGAGAGATCTAACTGAATTCAGCTGTTCTTAATTTAGTTTTAATTCGCAGACTGTTTTGATGTGTGAAGTAAAGCCACACAGCACAAAAAGTGGCAGAATGGACATGGGGGTAAAAGGTGGTGCAGGCGGCGCATTGGCCGAGAGCCGACATTTCCTCAAATGTCACGCGGTCGCTGCTTTTGAGGAGAGCGGCAGGTACTGGAACATGTTGGGCTTTTTGGTTTTATTTTTAAATTAGGGCAAGAAAGCGAGAGCCCCTAATGGGAGGTCAGGCTTAAGAACCACTCTTAGGAAATGTAAGGTCAATTCTTCATCAGCCCACACGAGTCCACATACACCTGTGGCATTAGGAAACAACATCAGGTTTTTGTAGATTACTGCTAATTCTTTTTTAATGCCTCTTTTAGTAGCACTTTTTTTTTTACAGATTCGTTCATATGAGCTGCTTTACCAGAATCTAACTTAGATGCTTTCCCCAAACAACCTTGTCAGATTATTTGATTTCTTATATTAGTAACAGTCTAACTAAACTCACAAATACTTTATGTGATTATGAATACATACGGACAATTTACAGTGATATTATTTGCAAGAAGTAGACTCAAGTCTGAAGGAAATAAGGGGAGAGTGTAAGTTTTCTTGATATATAGGTATATTCTTCTCTATATAGGTAATATTGGTGGATTTACATTGGCATTTACGGGATTATTTTCTTATTTTTTACTATGAACTGTAACACTTCTTATCCCTAGTACTGTAGTGCTGGGTAAAATTACTCATTTGTGTATATTTACTTTTACTAGCATATGAAAAGAAAATCTGAGATCTAAGATAATTGAGATTTTGGATGTGAGCCCCACTGTAGCTGTTCTCTGTGGTCTCAATGAATTGCTATAAGTCACAAGCCAAAGGAAATGAAAGCAATCCACAAAAACCCCACTGATTGAGCAAAAATATGGAATATGTGTCATGGGCCTGACTAATATGGCTCTTATCTAAAGGCTGTTTTCATCCTTCAGAAGTAGAGATGTACTAAATCCTAAAGTGCAAAATTATTCAAGAGTTTGTACAGTTCTTTTGTTTGAAAAAACAAACAACTAATCTATTTTTCTCATGTTTCAAGTTAAGACCCTGTGAAACTTAGTAGTACCAATAAAAAATGGGGTTTTATTAAGCTGAACCTTAAAATTCAAGTTTTTCTTACAGAGCGAGAATTGTAGTCTGTGATTCACAAATGGTGCATATACAATTGCATTCAATATATTTGGATACTCTTCCCATTTTTCTCTCTGATGTGCCCACTTGTCAACTCCCTGCTGATTCAGTTAGCCTCATCCTGGGGTTTTTTTATTACTTTTCTTGAAAGAAAATCTTATTAGATTCCATTGATTGATTTTACTAAGAATGGCAATATGTTTTCCAAATGAAATCAGGTAAAAGGAAAGTTCCAGACTTGTCTTCCGAAACTTTAAGTACTTAGGAAGGCTGAATAGCCTTAAGTCAGAACTGAAGGTGAAAGGAATTGCTTGAAGGTGTTAGGATAATTTGTCCTCAGAAGTATCAGCTATTTGTTACATTGTGCCGCTCTGTATTTATGTTTATTGTCTGTAAATGCCTAGATTGATGAGTGAGGATTTAAAGACCTGATTTTAAATCTGACACAATCAGATTTTAAATTCTGAACCAGCAGAAATTTTACATACGTGAAAGTAGTGTTGTTCTGGTACTCTGTCATATTTTACTGAAGGTGACAAATTACTTTTTCTGTTTTCTTGTGAAAAAGACCAAACCCAGAACACCATGTATTTATGTATCTATTGTTACAACTAATTACAGTTTTCTTCAGTGTTGCTAATAACTCTAGATGAACTCAGTGTTTTAAGTTTATTAAAAATGGCATAGAAATTCTTGGATCTCTTGCAAAGAATGCCAGCTTGAAAAATAAATGGGGATTAAAATTCTGGAGGCTCAATTTAAGTTCCAGCTGATATTTGGTATGTTCCCTCCTGTGTTCGAGTCACCACTGATGAAAGCAGAACCACATCCTAGCAGGCTGCAGATTCTGACAGCCAAGAGAATGGACTTCTAGTTCAAAGCTCGTGCTGTACTTCATTGCCCAGGAAGTTGAGGGTAGATGCGTAGTTCAGAGTGGGTGTTTCTTCATGTAAGGTCTCAGCACCCCAGTACAGTCCCCTTCTTTCCCCAAGTGTGCTGACTCCTTAAAAAACTGATTAGTGCCAACGTCTGAAGAAAGCTGCGTGGTTCTAAAATCTAGTATAGCAAAACTGGAAAAAAATCAATCAAGCAAAGAAGCTGGAGCATGTAGAAGGAGCAAAAGCGTAGTTATGTAGGTATATAACTACAGTATAATTGCAAGTCATCGAATCTCAGTACGAAAACCTGTTTGCATTTGCTGTGCAAAATACTATGGCATAGGCTTCTTTATGGCTTTGAGTTGTTTTTTCTTGAAGAATTGGAAGCTAATACACATTGTTTTCCATTTTGTCCCTTGCTGAACTTTCTCACTTTGCTTAGTGTTGGGTACAAAATCAAAAAGGACTTGCTGTCAGTATTTTAGATGCCAGACTGTTGCTTCAAATATGCAAATTGGCACTGGCTGTGACAGGAGCACTGTGAATAGAAGTCACGCTGGGATGCTGTATTCCCATAGCAGTCTCTCTGAATTTCAACCAAAGGTGCCTTTTCCTTTATTCTTCTTAGGTTTGTTTTATTAGCTTGGGTAAGTAATAGTAGCCTTTCTAGCTTGTATCAAGTTTGGGAGTTATTTTTATTTGAACAATATGTTGTTGACTGGAGTAAAAACAGCTGGACTCTAGATTGCCTACACTTAAAGGTGACCAAGTTGTTTCTAAATGGCTTGGTAAATGTGGGTGGTAGCATATTGAATTTATTTCTCCCTTGACCTTTACATTTCCAATATGAATAAACCAAAGGTTAAAATGTGTGACATTTCCTAGGTCTCTTTCAATAATCAGATGTTCAAAAGATGTGCTTTTTCGTTGTTGCTGTTCTCAAGGGAAGTGTGAAGGGCTGATCGTGCTGGGGATTTTTATTTCTGTATTAGCGCGTACAGTTGGCGAAGTTGAGTCTGCAAAATGCAGCTTTTCGACACGTAAGTCTGCTTGAAATACTGCCAGCATGGGTTGGAGTCAGGACACTCTCGGAGAAGCTTTTTAATTCAGACCTAGAACGTTAAATGTAACTCAAGCAGGCTGATGGGCTGGAAGTGAACCTGAGCAATATTAACAGCTGTCGAAATGTCGAGATTTTGACTACGTATTCTGAAAGTGTCTTTTCACTTACAGCCGCCAATGTCCATCCAGTCTATCGTGGTGCAAGTCCAGTGTGTTAACAAAAAGGTTGGCACCGTCATCAACCACGAAGTGCGGATTGTGGTGAGAGACAGGAACGACAACTCGCCTCGCTTCCAGCAGCAGCGGTACCATGTGGCAGTAAACGAGGTCAGAGCTGCTTCTCGTTTTTCTTTTCTCTTTCTTCTTTGTGTCATGTCTTAGCTAAATGCCAGCTTTCTGTTCTTTCCCTTCTCATTTGAAAATCACTTTTTGTCTGCATTCATTACAATTCTGTAATGTTGCAGAAGACACTGAAATCTGAAGCTATGTCTCAATGAATGAAACGTTGATTTCTGGTAAATTTACAAAGTATTTTACTGTGTTCAATAAATAAAAAACACTTCCAACAAACCACGAAGTAAACCATTACCATGCATTTACAAAAAACAAACATAAAGCAAAGAGTTCAAAGTGTTTTATTAACAATATTGAAGCTTGGTAAAGTGCAGTTTAGGTTTATTGCTGTTTCTTGTTAATAAATGATGTCTATGAATGGAATTCCTTTGCTTTATTGTTTTAAGGAATAGCTGCAGATTGCGCTTCTCATTATTTAGAAGAAAAAAATTATTTCTTTCTTAAGCTTCTACAAATTCATTTTGCTTTACAGTTAAGTTTTTTATTCTCTGAGGGACTCAGTAATCTCCTAATAACCAGTAAAAAGGACCGGTGTTTTCAGTAAGTTAGCATCTTGGGGCTTTAGGAATAAGAAGTGGAATTGGGAATATACATGCAGAACTGGAAATGTCTGGAGTGAAACTAACATGAGAATGGAAGGATGGGTCAGACTTCTGAAGATAACAAATGAAAGAATTACAGTTGCTTTTAAGAAAATAAAGCTGTTAAATATGTAGTGTATGTTATGTCCGTGATGAGTTTGGTTTTGAATGATTTTCTTCCTGTGAAAGAGCAAGACTGCTTTCACATTGTTTGATTTAGCAGACTTGATTTGCTTTTTAAAAAAAAAAAAAAAATTCGTAGTTTTTTGTATTTGGGAGACTCAGCTTTTCAATGGGACTGCACGTTGGTAGAATTGCCATCTTACTCAAAGTTACCAAGCATGTCGTGGTGTGCAGGACATCGCGTAGGCTCCAGGAAAGAAATGGGTGAGTTGGTTGATGAGTTTAGGCCTGAATAACCGAACATTTAAAGGGAAGAAACCAAAACCCACACCTTATTTTTGAGTAGAGACCTGAAGTTGAGAAAAACCAGGAGGAGTGGCTGACACACCAGCAGGCTGTGCTGCCATTCAGCAAGAACTAGGCAGGCTGGAGAGTTGGGTGGGGAGAAATTTGGTGAAATACAAGGACAAGTGTAGAGTTTTGCCCCTGGGAAAGAATAACCCCATGTGCCAGCACAGGCTGGGACTGACCTGCTGGAGAGCAGCGCAGGGGAAAGGGCCCTGGGGGTGCTGGTGGGCAGCTGGATGGTCATGAGCCAGCAGTGTGCCCTCGTGGCCAAGAAGGCCAATGGCTTCCTGGGCTGGGTTAGAAGGGGAGTAGCTGGTAGGTCAGAGAGGTCCTCCTGCCCCTCTGCTCTGCCCTGGTGAGGCCACATCTGGAATGTTGTGTCCAGTTCTGGGCCCTCAGCTCCAGAGGGACAGGGAACTGCTGGAGAGAGTCCAGTGCAGCCCCAGGGATGATGGAGGGATGGAACATCTCCCTGGGGAGGAAAGGCTGAAGGAGCTGGGGCTCTGCAGCTGGAGAAGAGGAGCCTGAGGGGTGACCTCATCAATGTTTATAAATACGTCAAGGGGGAGTGTCAGGAGGACAGAGCCAGGCTCTTTTCAGGGATGTCCAGTGACAGGACAAGGGAGCAAAAGGTACAAGCTGGAGCACAGGAGGTTGCACAAAACCTTCAGGAAAAACTTTTTCCCTGTGCGGGTGCTGGAGCCCTGGCCCAGGCTGCCCAGAGAGGGTGTGGGGTCTCCTGCTCTGGAGACATTCAAACCCCGCCTGGATGTGTTCCTGTGTGACCTGTGTAGGTGACCCTGCTCTGGCAAGGGGGCTGGACTGGATTATCTTTTGAGCTCCCTTCCAATCCCTAACATTCTGTGATTTTGTGAGAAGGATATACATGTTTTTCAAACTTACTGGTCTTCTGACTGGTGACACCTTTTTAAATTGAGGTTGTTTCACTTCAGACAAATTTTCAGCAATACATCTGCTGAGGTAGCTTACCATCAGAATTTAAAGGTCAGAAAATACCATCTGTGTGAATACCAGTGAGGTCCTTATGCTTTTAAACTGTTTTCAAGTTGGCCTAATTGTGATTTTTTTGCAGACCTGTTGCAAAAATGCTTGTATGGAGTACAGGCAGCATAAACATTAGTCCCAAGTGCCTGTATGGGCTTTGCTGCAGGTCCCAGATCACTTCCAAGTCCTGCATATTTTTTGCAGTAAAACTGAAGGCGGGTAGCGTGTAAGTGCTGTAATATTGAGGAAGCAAGGATTTTTCTTCATTAGAAATAAGTCCAAAAGACAGAGTGAAAAAGACACCGTTTGAAATTATTTATATTCAGAAATGTAGCAATGTTCCAAGTATGTGCAATCATTTATTTCCATTTATTTCTGGGCAAAATGCAGCGTTGCTCTTTCTGCCAGTTCCTGTCCTGATTTAGCTTCTTTGTTTCATTTTATCATTGCTATGCTTGTAACTTAACAGGCATGTAGGGCTTTCTTTGTGCACCCCCCTTCTTGACAGAAGAAAACCCTTAAATCCCTAAGGATGATTTGACAATATGCAGAATAGATTCAGATTTTACTGATGCTATCTATCTACAGAGATTTGTCAGAATTCTTAGGATCCAGATGAAGTTATTTGAAACAGTGCTGCAGAAAGCCTATACACCCCCTTGAGTAAGGAAGGAAAGGAGAGACTGTGGCTTTTTCGCAAGAGGGGCCACATAGTTACCAGATTGCTAAATGCATGCATTTTGAAGGGTTTGGGAAGTTTGCATGAAGGCATAGAATTTTCTTTCTTCATGCTCAGGCACTTGAGGAGCAGCTCAGGGGTAGGAGAAGGGAAACCAAAGGGAGCGTTACCACTCAGAAATACTGAAGCAGCAGCAAATAAGTGTCAGTGATAATTCTCTAGTGCTGAAAGCAGAGGATGGCTTTGAAAATCAAGTAAATGCTACCATTGTATTTCTAAGACCATGCAGCTTCTGGTGATGTGACACATACCTGTGATAACATGGAAGAGTTTGGTACAGGTCAGTCAGTATTTCTTGTACTAAGAATTTTAAGATATACATGTTCACAAGCAGCTAGGAAAGAAAAAATTGGTCAAGAGCCATAACATACGCTGCCTTCAGTCTAATATATTTTACAGCTGCGGTTGACTCGAGCTTGGGAGAGCTTATTAAGAAAGCACCACTTCATGTTTCTCAGTCATTACACTCTTCCTTGAGCATCTGCAAGGGCCACTGACAGAGAAAATATACTGGATTAGCAGAGCTTTTAGTCTAATTTGGTACAGACATCCTCCTTTTCTAACCAGTGAAAAAATAGAGACACCTTTTAGTATAAACCAAAATAGATGCTGTGCTGCCAAATCAGTCTCATTCTAAGTCTTCTGGAAAAATATGAGCCTAATTTTAAACCATGCTTTTTATGTGCAAATAAACTACAGTTGATACTGTATTACAATCATTCTCAGCTTTTACACACTACTTTGGGTATATTGCAGACAGTTCAAATATAAAGAATACTTGACATAAACCATTGTATTTCTCCAAGATGTATTTTTACCCCTTGACATTTCTGAAACTGAAAAACTACCTAATAAAGTAAAATCTAACTACAGTTATTTATCTCCAATAATTACATAATAGTTTCGACTACCTGGGAAACTCTTTAGCCCTAGACTTCAACTCCTTTAAAAACATTTAGGAGTAATTTCTAGGTTGTGACATATTTACCCAGGATTTCTTTGCAGTAGACATATACAGGAAGCACGATGAATGCACGCACAGTGTCAAGCTGGTTAGCGCAGGAGCTGTAAATGCAGCACGTAATGTGTATGTGCTTAAATCACATGTATGCGATTAAATAGTACCTCTGCAAAGTCCACCTGATGTTTTGTGCAAGAACCAGGGACTACGGCATGGTTACAAAGGCACAGCGCGTGTGTTCTTAATCTCACCCACACAGGACAGACAGAGAATTCGTGGCTGCCGAGTACAGCCCTGGAGAGCACCTGAATAAGTCGGTCCTCAAATGGACACAGTTAAAATTTCCTGGCTAGAAGGGAGATATCTGTGATGATCACATGTATGGTAGCTGTAAATAATAAAATCTACTTGTCCTTTGGTTTGCTTTATGTTACTGATGGAAGAGAAACTTCTGTACTTTTTAGTTTACAAGCAAGCTAAAAGCCTGGAAGCAATCAAAAGATAACCACAAAGCCTCATTCCCATGCGTTCCTCTAGTTAAATTCACTAGAGGCACTCCCAATAACTAGCAGAATAACTATCATTAAAAAATGCAATCACTCACTGAAACCTTTGAGAAAGTCTGACATGCTTTGTGAGCTTCCCCCTCCTCCACCCCCGTTAATTAATGAGAGCATTAACCCCATGGGTACAGCTGAAGGGCACAGTGATACCATGTCAGAAGCATAACAATGATAAAATGAAACAAAGCAGCTAATTAAATCAGGCCAGCAACTGCTGGAAAGAGCAACACTGCATTTTGCCCAGTAATAATGGAAATAAATGATTGCATATTTGGAACACTGATGAATTTTTGAATATAAGTAATTTTAAATAGTGCCTTTTTTCACTCTGTCTTTTGGACTTCTTTCTAATAGTGGAAAATCCTTGCTTCCTCAGTTGTTACCACAAGTGCCTGTACAGGCTGTGAGGCAGGTCCCAGATCGCTTCCAAGTCCTGCATAGTTTTTGCAGTAAAACTGAAGGCGGGTAACACGTCAGTACATTTGTATTTATGTGCACACTTGTGTGTGTGTGTGTAAATAGTCTCCGGTCTCTCTGGTCCTCAATAATCATAGCAGGGGGCTAATGCAGCCACGAAAGAGCCGTCTGCTTAAAATTAACTGGCATTTTATGCATAAGCTATAGCCAAGAAAGTGAGGTTGTAATTAAGCTAT